ATCAGTTGAGAATCAGGAGTCTGGCCGCAAACAGCTCCAATGGAAACTGCTCAAGTTTCCCCCAACAACTCTGCATATATTGGTTTTTACTCGAAATTAGTTTCAGCATTAAATTTAACACACTTTGTATTTTAGATACTTCCTGACAGAATTAGATTATACAACATTAATGCACGAGAATTGCTTTTACTGAATATCCGGTCGAACTATTTTATGTTATTGCTAAAAGTGTTGGACAGTTGGTAAACCCTTAAACTCAGTGTTCTATTCACATCGATTAGCGTACACGTATATGCCAGTAGTGTGTGTATACGAAACAACAAATGGAAAAGGTTGGAACGTCAATAACAAATGAGAGCAGAAGAAAAACTTTTATAAACAATTGCGAAACTCATTTTAAGCGTTTAGATATTTATATATTATATATATATATGTTTATAAATAAAAAGCGACCCAGTTTGAGGAGTGACAATCAAGCGAGGGGTTAATTCTAAACTTTGCTTTACTACATTAAAAAATTACCTGCGATGTAATTATTTTGTTTTATACTCTTATTTCCAGATAAAATTTTGATTTTACTCCTCACCCTAAAGAATATATTCACTCTAAAATTGATTAGATATTAATAAAAATGTCCAATTACATTTATTTACAAATTTCTTTGATTGTAAAATTATTCGAAAACATCAACAGTTTTATTAAAAATAAATATTTAATTGCAATATTATTTTTGCAATTAAGATTTTCAAAAATTTCAAATTCAAAACCTTTTTGAAATTCAACAACTTAAAAGAAAATTATTATAAAACATGAAGATATCGATAATCGATTTCTTCATGTTTTATAATAATTAAAAATGATCCAATGATAAAATCATTATTTTAGATTATAAGAATATTATTACTGTAACTTCTTCAAAATTATTTTCATCATTTCAAGTCAATTACTATTTTCTAGAACTTTTAACTAAAATTCTTCTCTAAATCAATTATTTTTAATAATTTTTGGAAAAGTTCTTTGAGAATTTTCAAATTTATTTGTTTACTATTCAATATTTTACGCGAAATTTCAATTATTTGTAAATTCTTCAATTAAATATAATATTAGAAATAATAACTTCAAATAATTTCAAAAAAATTAATTTGTACAAAATTGTTAGTTAAAGTATAACAATTTAGATTTTTAAAGATGTTAATTTGAAATCTTTCCAAAATTCAATTATTTCTGAAAATTTACGCTATAGTGCTTCTAATTTTCAATTATACACTGAAATTTTAACTGAAAATTTTATTAATTGTGTAAATAATTGAAAAGTATAAAAAATTCCAATTTTCAAGCATTTTAATTGAAAACCTTTTCAAAATTCAGTTATTTTTAAAAATTTATGTTCTTAATATTCAATTATTATCTAAAACTCTAACTGAAATTCATTTTTAAATCAAGTTTTTTATTAAAAAATTCTATACGAGAATTCAGTTCTTCAAATACAGAAATAAATAATTTATTGAATAATTTAGTGTTTTTTTATAAAATTGAATTCTGATGAAGAACTTTATCAAAATTTTTGAAAATAATTGAATTTTTGAGAAGAATTTCATTAATATTTTTGAAAATAATTCAATTCTTTCAAGAAAATTAATTAAAAATGTAATGATAATAATTTTTAAATACGATTAAAAATATTATATCAAAATTGTTTTAAATAAATGAATTTTTTCAAAGAATTTTTCAAAATTTTTATAAATAATTGCATTCTTTGAGAAATTTATTTAATATTTGTAATAAAAATGATTGAAATCCTGAAATGAGTTTTATTGTTTATAAAAATAATTAAATTCTTGTCACGAATTTTATTAAAATTTTTACAAAGAATTGAATTGCTGAAAAGAATTATATTCTTTATAATAGTAATTGAATCCTTGTGAAGAAATTTAGTACATTTTTTTTAAATAATTGAATGCCTGTGAAGAATTTCGTTAATACTTTTGAAAATAATTGAATACATACGAAGAAATTTATTATTTATGAAAATAATTGAATTCCTATAAAGAATTTTATTATTTTAGAAAAAAAATTGAAATTTTGACAAAAATTTTATTTAAATATTTGAAAATAATTGAATTTCGGAGAAGAAATTTATTATTTCTAAAGATAATTGTAATTTTGATGAGAATTTAAAAAAAATTTTGAACATAATTGAATTTCTACGAAGAATTTTATTACTTTTGATAATAATTGAATATTTGCAACGAATTTTATTTAAATTTTTAAAAATAATTGAATTGCTGATGAGAATTATATTATTAATAAAAGTAATTGAATTCTTGCGAAGAACTTTATTACATAATTTTAAATAATTGAATTCCTGTGAAGAATTTCACTAAAATTTTTGAATGTAATATTGAATACTTTCTAAGAAATTTATTATTTATGAAAATAATAGAATTAATATTATTAAATTTAAATTTAATATAATTGAATATAATTGAAGTTTTGAGATAAATTTTATTAAAGTTTTTGGAAATAATTGAATTCTTGTAAAAAATTTTATTATTTTTGAAAATAATTGAATTTTTGCAATCATTTGTAACTTCTTCAATTATTTTTATACAATTATTTTTTATACAATTATTTTAACGAAAATTCTTCTATAAATCTATTATTTTTAATAATTAATTAAATATTAAACAAATTGACTAATTTCATAAAAATTTGAATTATTCAAATTTTTTTAAAATCTAAGTTCTTTGAAATTTCTTTAAGAAATTTAGATTTTTGAAACATTGAAATTTTCTAAAATTTCAAATTAAAATCTTTTGAAGTTTTCGTCTATTTATGAAAATTGTAAACGCAACTCTTTTAAAACTTCAATTCATTTTGTAATATTTAAGTAAAATTATTCCTTAAATAATTTACAAGTAATAATTTTATAATAATAGTTCATAGCAATAAGACCCGTGTAGAAATCACCATGCTATGCCTAAAATGATTATTGGCCCTAGCTTGGACCTAACTTGGCAACCCCTTTTTATATATCCTAGGCTGGTCCTAACTTGGTACTAGCTAGGAGATCCAGTTATGACTTAGAAAAATTTTTAGGAAAATAAAGTGTCAAAATTGATACATGAAAAACATGTAAAAATTGATAAATATTCTCAATTAATATTTATAAAATTAATTGATAATCATATTTGTTTAAACAATTTATTGTTTGACATAAATTATACAAATACTATAAAATAAAGTTAATTTATTAATTCAGCAATTGTTTAAACAAATAATTGTTATTTACTAACTTTTTACACAATCAACCTAGAAACTAGCAGTTTTTTCTACTTTTGCAATAAGTAAATACTCAGATTAGTTAATTGCAAAATTTTAAAAGACTACAAGTGTCTAGACGCTTTATTGTCTTAAGAATTAATAAATAACAACAATTTTTTGTTTAAACAAATGCTGAATTGTTAAAATTATAAATTATCTTCATATTTCACTACTCAAGTGTAATAATCGCGAAGTTAGATAAAAACTGCAAATTTTTAAGTAATTTGTTACAAAAGTTAATATAACAGCAAAATTTATTTATTTATTTAAACAGATACAGACTGCAATATAATTATCATTAGTAAAATATATTTCTAATTTCGTTCGCTGATTTTAAGTTTCGTTTAAGTTGGTGCTAAACACTAAGAGATATTGCAATTCAAATGTGGGCTGACCCACCCAGGTCCAACCCAGGACCAACCTGGGCTTCCTAGTTTCATTAGCAAAAATTTCTAAGTCCAAGTCTAAAAAAATTTTTGCAACAAAAAATTAATGCTTAAAATGATTTAGAATAATGAAAAACGTGTTTTTAACATAAATCTTTTTGACATTTTTTTAAAAAGTGGATCACCCGCTTAATTAATTAGGAAAAATTTCCAAGTCCAAAAGACGAATATTTTTTTTAGACCAAGAAATTAATGTTAAAAATGATTGAGAACAATGAAAAACCTGTTTTTAACGAAAATGTATAGATATTTTTTTTCTTGATATAATATAAAAATATTAATTTTTGAATTTTTATATTTGGATATTATTTTATTATTATTGTTGTTGTTAAACTATTTTTTTTATTTATTATTGTGTATTAGTGTCAATAATTACTATATTGAATCATCAAAAGCAAGTCCACAAGTCACTGACAATAAAAATTTTGATCTCAACTAGTTTCATTAGCATAGTGGTTAGGGCGTTAGTCTCGTAGTCCGTAGGTCGTAGGTTCGATTCCCGCGTGCGTTAGATTTTATTTACTTCTTAGGTTTGCGTTTATTCCGATTTTTCTGCATTGTATTCGTATAAGTATGCAATTTAATGATTATATATACTGTAAAATAATTTAATTAACAAATTTCTAATTTTTTTATAATTTTTAATGTATATATTAGAGGAATATATATTAATCTCTACATATACTAACATTATTTATGAATTCGCTTTTGGTCATCACTTAATTGAAAAAAATAATAATTAATTAAAACTAATACTTATTATTAATAATTTAGGTTATTTCTTTAACAAATATTATTAACTAATTAAAATTATAATGAAATAGAAAATACTGTCTGAGATGGTCCTTTCTAGGTCCTAAAATGGACCCATAAACTGGTCCTAACTAGGCTCCCAAGTTAGGACCAGGCTAGAATCGCATCACCACCCATTGTTGGTCCAACCTACACTGCCAACCTAGGACCAAGCTATTAACAGGGCAAAATAGGTAGGACCTGGCTAGGACCAATTTTCATTTTCCACACGGGCGAATGTAATTTAAAGTAGAAATATATAAATTCCGTTCATTTGAACATTCGGAACTTTAGGATCAACAATATTAATACATTTATTTATAACAATTTAGTAACTTGTAAGTTTGAAATGAAACAAAATCACCCTCCCTGCTGAAAATCTACATTCTACAGTTTATGCGTGAATTATTATGTATTTCAAGATGCTTGTGTACTCACTTTGAATCCTTTATACCACTCTTTGATAGTCGCCTCATCGTATCTCGTATGCGACTTGAGGAAGTCCATATCCTCTTTACTCAATTTGTCTTTGCTCCCAAAACAACCCATTTTAGGTGCGAGCTGCAACAGAAAGGATTCCTTCTTCAAACTCAATTTCAACAACATCGTAAACGTGTGAAACTATAAAATTTATGAGGTTCTATTTGCTACAAACGATGAAGGACGAGCGTGGCGTCGTTTGTGCAATAAAATTGATTTTTTAATAAGTATACATGAGGAATAGATAATAATCTTTAAAACTGACTCTTCAGAATACTTTTTGCTGCAAAAAAAAAGAAGAAAAAAAATTAGAAGTAACAGTAAAAAAAATTTACATTAACAAAACAAAATCTATAGATACTGTATTTCTTCCTCCCTCGTGGTGCACTAAAAGAAGATAAATGATCCTCGGATGATACCATTTCTCACTCGAAAACAATGTCTACACCTATACCTTTTTGCGCAAGCTTCCAGCAGAGAAACGTTATATAATTCTCATCCGGAAAATATATTTATTTTCATAGAAGGGGAATTACTGTCACGTAATTAAGAAATATATCTTGTTCCATTTTTCAAAATAGATAAAAAAAAAAGAATTCGATAGCACACGGAGAAAATTTGTTGCTTATATTTAAACGAATTTTTCAGTAAAGTTGGGATATAGTGGCACCTAATTTTTAATAATTTTCAAATTATTTTTTCAGTATAATATTAAAAAATTTTACTTAAAAATAAAAATTAAATTTTTAATAACTATAAAACATGACCAAGTGATAAAATCATTATCAATTATTATTTTCAAGAATTTGTAACTAAAATTCTTCTTTAAATCGATTATTTTTTAATAATTTTCGAAAAAGTTCTTTGACAATCTTCAAGTCCATTTGTTTACAATATTCAATTTTACGAAATTTTAATTATTCGTAAATTCTTCAATTATAAATAAATATTAGAAAATAAAAACTTCAAATAATATTTAAAAAAAAACTCAATTAAACTTTTTCAAAACAATTAATTGCAATTTAATTATTTCTAAAAACTCACACTATAATGCTTTTAATATTCAATTATATTATTATCTAAAATTTTAACTGAAATTCATTTTTATGAAATGAAAATCAATTTTTATTAGAAAATTCTACTAGAATTCAATTATTTAAATACAAATAAAATGCAAATAAATAATTTATTGCATAATTGAATGTTTCTTAAAATTCAATTCCCATAAAGAATTTTATTAACAAATTTTTAATAATTGAATTCTGTCGACGAATTTTAATAGAATAATTAAGAATAATTATTACATTTTTCGAGAAATTCGATTAAAATTGTACTACAAATAATTGGAATTATGCGATGAGTTTTCATATTTGTGAAAATAATTGAATACCTAAAAAGAATTTTATTATTTTTGAACAATATTTAATATTTGCGAAGAATATTATTACTCTTGAAAATAATTGAATTTCTGCAATAAATTATAACTTTTCCAAAATTAAATTTTTTTTCGTGTTTTCAACTAAAATTCTTCTATAAATTGAAAATTCAATTATTTTTAAAAATTCACGCTCTAATGCTTTTAATATTCACTTACTATCTAAAATTTTAACTGAAATCCATTTTAAAATCAATTTTTATCAAAAAATTCTAATAGAATTCAATTATTTTAATACAAAAATAAATAATTTATTGCATAATTAAATGTTTCTTAAAATTCAATTCCCAAATTCGAATAAACAAATTATGTTAAAATTTAAATAAATAATTTAATTCTTTCGAAGATTTTTAATAAAATTTTTGAAAATAATTAAATTCATTTGGAAAATTTTATTAAAATTTTTGTAAATAACAAAAAAATAATAATTAATTTTTAACTTTTTATCAAGATTCTCAAATTTTTATCATTTATTAAAATTTTGTCAAGATATTTTATTGAAAATAATTAAATATCGTCGAAAAATTGTAATATTTATAAAAATAATTGAATTATGTCGAAGAATTTTAATAAAAAATGTCCATAATGATTGCATTTTTTTAAGAATTAATTTAAAATATATTAATTTCATTTTAAAAATAATACAACAATAACAAGTTATTGAATAATTGAATGTTTCTTAAAATGCAATTCCCATAAAGAATTTTATTAACAAATTTTTAAATAATTGAATTCTGTCGACGAATTTTAATAACATTTTTAAGAATTTTTTCGAGGATTTCAATTTAAATTGTATTGAAAATAATTGAAATTCTACAATGAGTTTTATTATTTATGAAAATAATTGAATTTCGAAAAAGAATTTTATTATTTACGAAAATAATTGAATCCTTGTACAAATTTTATTATTCATGAAAATAATTAAATCATTGCGAAGAAATTTATAAAAAATTTGTAAATAATTGAATTCCTGTGAAATTTTTATTATTTTATGAAAATAATTAAAAGTTTGCGCAGAATTGAATTAAATTTTTTTTAATAATTGAATTCTATTGAAATTTTTGAATAATAATTGAATTCTTTTAGAAAATTTTATTAAAATAGTAGATATTAAAAGTCATTGAAATTTGAGGAAAATGTTTAAGAATAATTGAAATTTTGCCAAGAATTATATTAAAATTTTTAAAAATAATTGAATTTCTTCAATTATTTGTAACTTTTCAAAAATTCAATTTTTTTTAGTGTTTTCAACTAAAATTTTTCTATAAATTAATTATTTTTAATAATTAATTCTAATCAATTTTTTAACAATATTTACATAATTTTTACAATATTTCGATGAATTTGGTTAAAATTGTTTAAAAAATAATTGAAATTCTGCCATGAGTTTTATTTTATTACAAAAAAATTGAATTATTACTAAAAACTTAATAAAAAAATTTCTAAATGATTGAATTCGTGTGAAAATTTTATTATTTATGAAAATAATTAATTGTTTGGGTAGAATTTTATCAACATTTTTTTTTAAATAATTAAATCCTTTGGAAAATTTTATTGAAATGAGAAAAAAATTAATAAATATTGAAAATTTTTTGATAATAATTGAAATTTTGTCAAGAATTTTATTAAAATTTTTCTCCGAATGATATTTTACAATTTACGAACTTTTTGTCTTTTCTCAATAAAATTACGGACTTTACGGATTTTTAAAAAAAATTTACTTTTACGGACAGTAAGCAAATTTACGGACCTAGTTCGAGTCCTGATTTTACCAAACACTTTATCTTACGTTTTATTGAACTATTCAGTAAAAATAAGTATGGGGAATACTTATCTTACACTCTAAATCTGAATCATAAAAAAATTTCACTGAATTTAATTTTAATTGAATTTTAATTCAGTATTTTTTATGAATCAGTGGAATTTCACTGACAATCAGTGGTTTTTACTGATTCTCAGTGAAATTCTACTGATGAATTAAAGAAAACTGAGCCACTGAATTGAAATCAGTGGAATTTTCGCTGATTCAGATTTAGAGTGTACATTTTACCGATCTAAATTCAGTAAAATTTGAAGAATAAATTTTCCCTGTGTAAAAGAAAAAATTCGATACTCAAAGAGCAGGTTTGTTTCTACCACCACGCCAGGGGGTCACACCCTCATTACAGCCCAACCACAATAATAATCCATTTCATATACATATTTCCTGACAAATATGAATAATAAATAGTGAAACTTGTCGGATAATCCTAATGACTGTGTTTCCGAGCAATCTTCAATTACAAATTCATCAGCATTGACCGTCGGCCGAGTAAAGCATTATAATTTATTATTATCATAAATCAATGATCATTGTCTATATATATTCATGTATATGTTATCGAATGCAAAGAGAGAGAGTGAGAGACACATGGTCAGTATTGTTTCGATGGACAGACTTCGTGACGGGGTCGAACGTGTATCAATATAAACACGTGTGATAGTGTCACACGGCACAATGGTCAAACCCATTACATTACTTAACATGGTGACGAGTTGCAACCACAAGACCTTATAACACGCTTATCGTACGCTGCATTGTGTTGAGGTTTCTCGGATGTTCCTACGCTACATAAAGGGAAAGTTTCGTGACCTCGTTGATGACTCGCTTAATGCGCTGAATATCAAAGTCATATAACTCAATCCATTAATTCAATTTGCTGGCGAGGACCAACAAAAGTTCAGGAGAAATCAATTTTCGAAAAGGGAAAACAACAGTGCGGTGCATGGAGGGAAATTTTTATCAATTTCAAACAATATGGCTTTGTTTTTTACAAATTATTTCGAGTAAATAACGAATGTAAATTTTAAACTTGCAGTTCATTTCTAGATTGGTATCAAAATAAGTGAACTGACAACTTCATGTTGTTTGAAATTGGTTCTGACGTGCATCAACTACCAAGTTATGGGTTGAAATATTATTTTCCTAAACTTGTGATCGTACTAATATACGAAATACTATTTCCTGCTCTAATATTTTTTTAAAAATCGCTAAAGTGTAATGAAAAATATTGTAAATAATATATTTAAATTCTCAATCAATTTGTTAAAAATTATTGTTTCTAATTATAAGAATAACTAGCTTGTAAAGAAAATTTAGAGTAAAAGAAGTGATAAAAAAATCTTCGTTTATCTGAACGTTCGAAACTTTACAATCATTTAAAATATTATAATTTTTAAAATTTTAATAAATAAATAAACTAATTTCAATAAATAATCAAAATTTCACAGGAATTCAATTATTTACAAATTTTTTTTATAAATTTCTTTGCAATAATTCAATTATTGTCATAAAAAATGAATTCCTTCGTAAGAATTCAATTATTTTCTAAAATTTAAATGAAATTTTCAAGATTTTAAAATTTTCTCTCAAGATTTTTTATTCAGAAATAAAATTATTCACGTAAATTCTATTATTTTCATAAATAATAACAATGTTTTACAAGGATTCAATTATTTTCAAAAATAATAAAATTCTTTTTAGGAATTCAATTATTTTCATAAATAATAAAATTTTTCCAAGGATATCAATTATTTTTAAAAATTTAAATAAAATTTCAGGATTTCAATTATTTTTAATACAATATTAAATGAATATCTATGATAC